AGAAGCAGGCTCTCTGCTGAGCAAGGAGCCCAATGCAGGACTCGATCCCAGCACCACGGGATCATGACCTGAGCTGAAGGCAGATGCTTAACTGACTTAGCCACCCAGGTACCCCTTATTTAATTTTTTAATCTTTATTGGTTAGTTACTTTTTTTTATATCAGTGTTTACTACTATGAACAATACTGTAACAAACGGTCTTTAAGTTCGGGTGGTTTTATTTATTTTTGTGGAAAAACTCTAGGACTGGGTTTGCTGAATTGAAGAGTACATATACTTTAAATTTTAATCCATATTTTAATCAGCGTTTCCAGATTCGTTTCTCAAGAGGCTGTAACATTTCACACTTCTACCTGAAAGTACAGTTTCTCCACATCTCAACCCGTAATAAGTATGTTCCTTCTAAATTTATGCCAGTTTAATGGGCATAGCATAATTTTGATTTGCATTTCTTTGGTTACTGGGGAATTGGAGAACCATGCATATGCTTTTGGCCCATATGGATTTGCTTATCTGTGAATGAGACAAAGGCCTTATTTCTTTTGTTCTTTCTTTTCACTCCTACCTTAAAATTAAAAAACAAACACTTTTCAAAGTAACACATATACATAGCAAAAAATAAATAATAGAAGCATTTATAATGAAAGCAATAACCACTTGTCCTATCCTTCCTCACTCTTATTCCTAATCCTCCAAGTCAGGCCACAGAATCCACAGTAGCTTATTTAAGCAGTAAGTGATTTATATCAGGGTAATATGCAGTTTACAGAATTTCTACCTTCTTCAGAGAAGTTGTGGCAGAGCCAGGAATGGACATTTTATCCTGGAGAAACCCCCAAGAGCACGATGGGAAGTTTGGGCAGAAATACGTTTGCGTGGCAGCCTGCTGCTCAGCACCTATGATGTTAGGAAAGGGGAGCAGGATTTGTCCTCACCTGACTCAGGATACACCATGTCACCTCCTGTGGGCAGCTAGCTACTGAGAGCAGGGGAGGGGGAGCTTCTGACTTTCCGGTCTCCGTAGCACCCGGGCTCACAGGCAGGGGGTTAGCATGGGTGTTGGGTGAGCTACCGGCAGCGTCTGCCCTAGTTATATTCCTGTCTGTCTATCCGTTCCTTGTTTCTTTATTTTGTGGCAGTAACTCCCAGGGACATTACAATAAAAATGCGACTTGCCGAATGCCTCTCCTGAGCACACTTCCTGAAACCTGTCAGAAAACGTATTGATTTCTTCCCTTGTCACCGTGGACCATTTGTCTGAAGATTTGAATTTTAGATTCAATATTATAATTTTCGGCAGGGCTTTGAAATCATGGCTCATTGTCTTCTAAATAATGTTGCTATTGAGAACTGAGATTTGCATTCCCTTGTAGGTGAGGCATTTTGTTTGTTTAGTTGGTTGGTTTTTTAAAAAAAAATTTTTTTTTAATCTCTGTGGAGACTTTTGTGTCTTTTTTCTCATTGTGGTGGTCTATAATTTTGTGAAGATGTATGCTCAGCCCTCATTTGGCTCTCCCAAAAGAATTATCTGGCTCTTCAGTTCGGGAAAATTTTTGTTGATTATTTATGCTCCTTAATTTATTTTTCTGTTTTGTTTTTTTTTCTTCTCCTCCTAAAACTGTTGTTAGATGTTGGGTCTTCTGGATTTATCTTCTGTCTCATTCATATTCTCTACCTTTGTCTCTTTGCCTTAGGGTCTGAAGTTGTTCTCAACTTTATCTAGGCTACCGGTTGTATTTTTGTCCTACAAATCACTATCTTATTTTCCAAGAATCTTTATAGAATTTCTCCCTTTTCATGGTAGACTGTTCTGTTTTTTTTTTTCTTTTATTTTAGAGAGGAGGAGAGAGAGAGAA